GTTGCCCCCTACCCCCCCCCTTGCATTGCCCCCCCCCCCCCCCCCCCCATGGCTCCAGATGGTGCCCTACAAGATCGTGCGCGCCGACAACGGCGACGCGTGGGTGGAGGCGGGGGGGCAGCGCTACAGCCCCTCCCAGATGGGCGCCTTTGTGCTGATGAAGATGAAGGAGACGGCTGAGCGGTACCTGGGGCACCCCGTCAGCCAGGCCGTCATCACCGTGCCTGCATACTTCAATGACCATCAGCGCCAGGCCACCAAGGTGTGTGTGTGTGTGTGTGTGTGTCGGCGATGGCGGTGCTGCAGGTGGGTGGGGGCGTGTGGTGTGTGGTTAGGGTGAACGGGGACAGAGGAGCAGTGGAGAGGCAGGGCTCGGCGGAGAGGAGTCGGGCAGATGCGGGGAGGGTAGGGCAGGCTGTTCTCATTTCCTTGGACGTTTGCATGTTGGCCAGTCCCACCCACGCCGCCCCTGGCCCTGCCGCGTGCCTCCTCCCACCCTGTCTTGCAGGACGCGGGGCGCATCGCGGGCCTGGAAGTGCTGCGCATCATCAACGAGCCCACGGCGGCGGCGCTGTGCTACGGCAGCGACAAGAAGGAGGGGCTGGTGGCTGTGTACGACCTGGGGGGCGGCACCTTTGACATCTCCATCCTGGAGATCAGCGGCGGCGTGTTCGAGGTGGGGCCCGGCTGGCTGGCTGGCTGAGGGTGGGCGCCGCTGGCTGGCTGGCTGGCTTAGGGTGGGGCGCCGCTGGCTGGCTGGCTGGCTTAGGGTGGGGTGCTGCTGGCTGGCTGGCTGAGTGGTGGAGGGTGGGGTGTGTGCTGGGCGACTGCCATGAGCTGCGGCTGGGCTGGGCGGTGGCAGGGTGGGCCGCCGCGCCGTCGGCGAGCCTGCGGCGTGACCGTGCTACGGCAAGGCTGCTGCGCCAGCCCTGCCTGGTCGCTTGCCCTCACCACGCCTCCCCTCGCCCTCCCCTCTGACCTGCCTTCCCTCCCTGGCACCTCCACCCGCAGGTCAAGGCCACCAACGGTGACACCTTCCTGGGCGGCGAGGACTTTGACAACACCCTGCTGCAGCACATGGTGTCGGAGTTCAAGAAGGCGGAGGTGGGGCCTGGGGTGGGGGCCTTCTGGGAGGGGTGCTGCTAGGGCGCCGCTGGTGGTCCGCTGGCCACACGAGGAAGGGGCACAATCAGGGGATGCGTGCTGCCGGCGAGCGTCTCTGCGAGGAGCAGCAGCGCTGGGCACGCCTGGGGGCGCTCCCGCCTCCCTCCCCAGCCCCTCCCCGCTCACCCTTCCACCTCTGCCTCCACCCCCACAGGGCATCGACCTCACCAAGGACAAGCTGGCGGTGCAGCGGCTGCGCGAGGCGGCGGAGAAGGCCAAGTGCGAGCTGTCCAGGTGTGAGGGGCGGCTTGAGTGGCTCGCTGCCTGGCCTGTGCCTTGCCTGTGCCTTCTGTGCTGTGCCGTTCCAGCCCTGCGCCAGCCAGGCTGGGTGGTCAGCACCAGCCCTCGCAGGGATCCAGAGCTTCACGGTGCACATTGCGTTGCTGCACGCCGCCCTTGGTATGCCATGTCTGGTGCACTGAAGTACCGCTGCTGCCGTACCGCCTGCCGCGCCGCAGCATGAGCCAGACCGATGTCAACCTGCCCTTCATCACCGCCGACGCCTCGGGCGCCAAGCACCTGCAGATGAACATCACCCGGTGGGTGTTGGCTCCTGTGGGGGTGGCTTCAGCTGAGCTGTGGGCTGCGCTGCGCTGGGGCGGATGCAGCAGTGCCCGACGGCGGCATGCAGGGCTCCTCGCCTCATCACCGCTGCAGCACGCACGACCCCGCGCCTGCGGCCCGCGGCCTGCTGCATCTGGCCTCCCGCCCGTCGGCCAGCCTCTTTCACATATCCAAACACGCGGATCGCGGTTGACCACCCTCCCTCTCCCGCCTCCCTCTGTTGCCGCAGCTCCAAGTTTGAGCAGCTGGTCAAGTCGCTGCTGGACCGCACGGTGCAGCCGTGCCTGAGCTGCATGAAGGATGCGGGGGTGCAGCCCGCCGACATCCAGGAGGTGCTCATGGTGGGGGGCATGTCGCGCATGCCCAAGGTGAGCTCGATTTTGAGAAGGGGTTGATGCCCGAGTGGGTGGCCGGGCGTCGGGATCTGTGTTGGGGCGGCCTGATCGGGCTGCTCATGCACCACTGCCTGCCTGCCTGCCTGCTGCCTTTTCTGGCTAGCCTGCTGGCTTGCTGGGCGGCCCCTGTCGGCGTGACTCTACCTTGCGCCCCGTCCCCTGCACCCCAGGTGCACGAGATGGTGCGGGACATCTTCAAGAAGGAGCCCAACAGGTCGATGAACCCCGATGAGGTATGGCGGTACCGCAGGCAGTACGACGTGCAGTACAGTACACCTGCAGCGCGGCAGCTGCGCCTGCAAGTTCGATGCGCCGGCCTTCTGCTGGTTCCCTTGCTTGGCCCCTGCCCCCCGCGATGGAGGGAGGGAGGCTCCCTATCGGCCCACACCAGAGTGGCCCCTCATTGCCCCCTTCAATCTCCCCCACCTCCTCCCCGCCCCCCCTGTGCAGGTGGTGGCCATGGGCGCCGCCATCCAAGGCGGCGTGCTGCGCGGCGACGTGAAGGACATCCTGCTGCTGGATGTCACCCCCCTCAGGTGCCCCGCCGCGCGTTGCTGCATGCCTGACACCCGGCTGGAGCAGCTGGCCAGCAGCCATCGCCTGCTGATCCTGTGCCTGCCTGCCCCTGCCCTCCCGTCTTTCCCCCCAGCAAAATCTATGGGACCCAATCCCCTGCCAGCCCTGCACACAACCCACCTTTGCACCCTGCACGCCTCTGACGGCGCCCTGCGTCCTGCCCCCGCCTGCAGCCTGGGTATCGAGACGCTGGGCGGCGTGATGACCAAGCTGATCACCCGCAACACCACCATCCCCACCAAGAAGTCCCAGGTCTTCTCCACCGCCGCCGACTCCCAGACGCAGGTGGGTGGGGCGCTTGGGGTGGCGGTGCTTTGCTCGGTGCACAGCAGCACGCGGCGTGACCCAGCCGCGTGACCCAGCCGCGGCACGCCTGCACAGATCCCAACGCCTTGCCTGCTTTCCCCCCCCCCCC